GCAACCTGTCATCAAGTACCCTTCATCACAAAATGTAATATGGCTTTGTGCTCTGCTTTCCTTTTCATTGTTTAAAGTGGAAACAGGGATGTCAGCACATCCTTTCTAACTCAGGATATTCCAAATATTAACATGTGAAAAGATGGGATCTGTGCGGTAGGTTAAAATGTTGTCATATTCAAGTAATAAAACAGCGCAAATGTCACACACTTTACTTGCTGCCTGGGCAGATTTACGGAAGCTTTCACTAAACTCTAATAATGTAAATTTATAGATAGTAAATTTGGTATAAATTGCAGTAAAAAAGCAGAGTTAATTTGCCAAAGTTAATAACTTTTGAAATGTAGACCACCTCCAAAATTACTTTACATCTCCAAAAGTTTCTAAAAGCGTCAGAATAGCAACCAAAAAACTCAACTGTTCTACTCAATGCACACATTCAGGTTCATTCTTCACACATAAAGCATTTCAGCAAACTGATGTCCTTTAGTGGTCTGGAATTTCCCTTGAAGTATAACATAGAAACATAGAAACATAGAATGTGAAGGTAGATAAGAACCATTCGGCCCATCTAGTCTGCCCAATTTTCTAAATACTTTCATTAGTCCCTAGCCTTATCTTATAGTTAGGATAGCCTTATGCCTATCCCACGCATGCTTAAACTCCTTTACTGTGTTAACCTCTACCACTTCCGCTGGAAGGCTATTCCATGCATCCACTACCCTCTCAGTAAAGTAATACTTCCTGATATTATTTTTAAACCTTTGTCCCTCTAATTTAAGACTATGTCCTCTTGTTGTGGTAGTTTTTCTTCTTTTAAATATAGTCTCCTCCTTTACTGTGTTGATTCCCTTTATATATTTAAATGTTTCTATCATATCCCCCCTGTCTCGTCTTTCCTCCAAGCTATACATGTTAAGATCCTTTAACCTTTCCTGGTAAGTTTTATCCCGCAATCCATGAACCAGTTTAGTAGCCCTTCTCTGAACCCTCTCTAAGGTATCAATATCCTTCTGAAGATACGGTCTCCAGTACTGTGTACAATACTCCAAGTGAGGTCTCACCAGTGTTCTGTACAATGGCATGAGCACTTCCCTCTTTCTACTGCTAATACCTCTCCCTATACAACCAAGCATTCTGCTAGCATTTCCTGCTGCTCTATTACATTGTCTGCCTACCTTTAAGTCATCAGAAATAATCACCCCTAAATCCCTTTCCTCATATGTTGAGGTTAGGACTCTATCAAATATTCTGTACTCTGCCCTTGGGTTTTTACGTCCAAGATGCATTATCTTGCACTTATCCACATTAAATGTCAGTTGCCACAATTCTGACCATTTTCTAGTTTACCTAAATCATTTGTCATTTGGCTTATCCCTCCTGGAACATCAACCCTGTTACATATCTTAGTATCATCAGCAAAAAGACATACCTTACCATCAAGACCTTCTGCAATATCACTAATAAAAATATTAAAGAGAATGGGTCCAAGTACAGATCCCTGAGGTACCCCACTGGTGACAAGTCCAAGCTTCGAATATATTCCATTAACTACAACCCTCTGTTTCCTGTCACTCAGCCACTGCCTTACCCATTCAACAATATTTGAATCCAAACTTAAAGATTGCAGTTTATTGATAAGCCTTCTATGTGCAACAGTGTCAAAAGCCTTACTGAAATCTAGGTAAGCAATGTCTACTGCACCACCCTAATCTATAATTTTAGTTACCCAATCAAAAAAATCAATAAGATTAGTTTGGCATGATCTCCCTGAAGTAAACCCATGTTGTCTCTGATCTTGAAATCCATGTGTTTTTAGATGTTCATCAATCCTATCCTTTAACATGGTTTCCATCACTTTCCCCACTACTGAAGTAAGGCTTACTGGCCTATAGTTGCCCGACTCCTCCCTATTACCTTTCTTGTAAATAGGCACAACATTTGCTAACTTCCAATCTTCTGGGACTACTACTGTTAACAATTATAACTTTCTTAATATTTCCACAGCTCTCTAATGCCTAATATCAACTTTTCCCAAAAAATACAGTACAAATTATCACGAGACATAGAAAGAGTATTCTTGTTCAAATGCAAATATAGCCAATTTAGTAAAATCTGAATACAATATATGTTAAATAAACTTACTTTAGGAATAAAATATCCTTTAAATATGACATCTTTTGTGGTTTCATGAGGAACGTTCAATGGAACCACATCAGCAAACCTCTGTATTTCATGTACCACTGCATTGGTGTATGGCATATCTGCACGATGATTGTAACTGGGATTGGCTAATCCAATTATTCGAGAAATCTCTTCCTGGACCTTCTCTAGACATAGCAACAATAAATACATTATCATTCTCCATCACATCATAATTAATTTATAGAATCAAAGTAAAATTATTTTTATGTTTAATGCCCTCCTTAATACGTCACTGTATATGTTATGGTATCTCAGTAGAACTTCTTACTGGCTTATGTAATAATGACAATTTCTGGAAAACAAGACTATCAATTTATAAGCTCTCTATATGAGTTGAATTTGAGTATTTGGCCTTAAAATTGGTTGCAGGATATTGCCTCCCACAACACCTTCACAATAAATTGATTTTCTCATTGCATGTGATGTCACATATCACTTGGGGGCATCCTTAATTTGTATAACAAGGTGGGATCATTTGATCTTTAGAAATGTTGAAATGCAGTGGATGGTATTGTATTGACATTGTCACTTGCAGTGAAGGGGCTATGTGGCTTGACACAAAATCTAGGTTCCCCCGGGTGCCTATCATTTAGACCAGGGTTCTCCAAAATCTGTCCCTCTAGATGTTGGTGAACTTCAACTCCCATGATTCTCTAGTTGTCTATTTCATTCAAGG